CACCCCTCAATGACAAATCCAAACTAGACTCTTTTCACCATGTTGTAGCCAAGAGAGACGGCACAAACACAGCAATTACACCTTTGTATGCCACAAATCAATTCTTACTTACTTACTTATTGAATACAGTTGTTGAAAACTAAAGGGATTACTGATTTGTATAATGCATTTGTTCGAGCATTTGCTGTTTAATTGTTGCACATGATTGTCCAAAAAGACTTCAAACAGGAATGAATTAGTGAGATATAGCCCTAAAAACATGCTTCCTGCTCCTTCCCTGTTGCACTCAGATGTTGCCCTCCCAGAAATGCCCCCCTGCACGAGCCTTGCCCCAGCGATGTACAACAGCAGCGACCACATCAACAATGTATGCGATAGTGGCGACCTTGTGTGAATGTGCCTCAGCCTCTCCATCCAGATGAGCTCCAGTCGCCTTCAACAGACGTGAAGCAGAAAATTGAGCCTCTCTATATGTGCACACTAAAGTCAGAGCTCCCTGGAGAGTTCGGCAATCACCTTCTCAATCTTAGCGCGTTCGGAGAGATTTGAGAAAATACCCCATACTCCAGATGTTTCAGACAATAACACTTTTTACAATTCAATCAATTTGAACTTGTGGTGGAAATGTGGAACTAAACACTAGAATAAAACCAATAATAGCTAATGTAAACACAGGTCTTGATGGTTCTTCCGTTATTAGCATGGCTTATGGTGTCCCATGCCCCAGGTATGCTGTTTTGAATAAGACATGATGGTTGTTGATGTTAGTGGTGAGTGTGACTATCGCTCAATCAGAAAGCCGACCGAGCCCCACGTTAGTCCCTTATTTGGGTCAGTCTCTTAAGCAGCTATACCCTCCCTGTAGTTAATCCCAACTCCCATATCAGCAACTAGGACATGTGCAAAACAGTGCCCTTTGACAGCTTTATCTTGTGCTGTATATTCTAATAATAATATGCCCAAATAGCCAGCAAAGAGCTCAGAAGTAAAGTAAGTTGGGGCCTGGAAAGTGCTTGAATGGGAGACTGGATGTCTGCGAGGTGCCAGAGTGGGGCAGCTGCGGCTCAAAGCTGTTATTGTCCTTATAAGACACTTCACCTACATTGACTTGAATCATAATAATCTTCTGGTGTGTGTCAATGTTTGGTGGTGCGTGCTCTTGAGGTCGGATGTGCAGCTGGTGCAGGTTGGCAAGTGTAGTTTACAACCATTGTGGCATAAATTAAAAAATGTATATATATATAAATGATTAAATGTGTATATTGTGCAGGATTTGACCTATTATATTGTCATGTAATATGTTAAACGCTCCATGACCGAAAAACTCGTTCATGTTATAGTTGTTTCCCTTGCCATTTACACACTTAAAGCTGTTTTTAGTATTCATTCATCACTAGGTTTAAAACAGTCCTCTTTAGTTTAGCATATGGTTAGGAAGGTAAGACTCAGGGAAGGCTAAACTCCTCAGACTGTCAGTCAAGCTGCATAGGGAGTCAGTTTGCTGGGAGAAGTATGGTAACTTGAGCACTATCCTCTCCTCCTTCCTACTTTATCTGTTTAGCATTATTAGGATTTTGACTGTAGTTTGTTCATTGCTATTCACCCGTTGTCCCATTGTCTGTTTCATGGTACGATGACGGGATCTCTGAGCCTGGCCTCTTCCATCTACACCTGCGGACTGCCCCGCCCGACCCGCCTGGGAGTGCTTCAGTCCTGCACCGGACCTGTCCACGTTCAGCAGCCACTGGTCCACGTTCTGTAGCTAGCTTAGGTCCTAGATCATTAGCCTGTCCGTCCGGAGGAGCGGATCCCTTTCTCAAATGGGTCTCCCTCCCTGTGGGTTTCCCTAGTTCTCCCCAAGGTTTCTCACTTTTTCCCACTGGGTTTTTTAAGAGTTTTTCCTTGTCGATGCAGGAGGGTCTTGTTGGACAGTTAGTGTCCAACAGAAAGGATTGGTGATGATCAGGACACTTTAGCATTCTACATGTATGGACATTTTCTTCTGTGTGTGCTTTATATTTTTCATGTGTTTTAACTGTTGATTCTCTGACCTGTGTTGGTGATTTCAATGGTTTTGTTAAGTCCTCTGAGATGACTTCTGTTGTGACCTAGGGCTATACAAGAATAAATTGTATTGTGTTTTGTATTGTATTCATGCTGGGATTCATGCAGGCTTGAGTTTATTCTATCCTCATATACAGTACGTACGTCGCCTTAGCTCTACCCTCAGTCCTCTGACTACGGCAAGCTTGCACCTGAAGGTATGTGACTGGTTTTTAGCTTAATCTAAACATTTATTTATAACAGTGTGTTTAACAAAGAACCACGGGGGGCCAAAGATGGGGGTCAAATAAAATTGGGATAGAAATGATTTTTTATTTTTTTATTACCGGCCTAAAACACAGCCATGCAATTATCAAGAGTCTTGTGTCATTGTGGTACAATTACATAGAACTATTACAACTTTTGAAGAGGAGGGGCATTACATGTTTTTGCCAGAGGTCCCTCATATTGAGGTAGATGGATCAAAAAAACAACTGCAGGTCTGTCACTAATAATGGAACAATGATTTAAGCACAAAAAAATACATTTGGATTATATACTGTATCTCCTTTTGTTTGTAAATACAGTTAGTGCAATAATACATCTATTTAGATGATAATCATATTAGATAAAACCTTTACAATATGATATTATTCTTAAGGGGAATCTTCCATTTGCATCAGCTGTATCAATTCTGACAAAACAAGTTGTCACACAGGAAACTATTTTCACAGTTGAAGCACAAACCACCAACGGGTATAGGATAAAAGATTCTTCATCTCGTGAGGCCGGCTGGGTAAATACCAACTTAAAACAAACAAAGGAAAGCTCACGTTAGTTCAAGTCTGCAGCTCCTGGGGGCCGATGATCGGTGTCCCTCCAGTGCACTTTGTGTCTCTCTGACATGGTCCCATTGGCCACGCAGTCCACACCTGTCCACACGCGTTAACTCTACAGCCGTGAATAATACAAGAGCTGAGGTCAGACTGGGAAGGCTCTCTCCGGTGAGTAAAGCAGACGTTTTGAATAAGTCAGCAAACAAACTCATGTCAAACTCAAACTAGGTCACTGAAACTATGAAAACACACACCTCCGAGTGCCACCGTCACTACCTTGGTTTATGAGTCTGTCTGATGCTGGAGTGAGACCATAAACATAACTGTAGTAGAGGACACGCTCACCTGAGGCTACCTCCTCTTCTTTATATTCATGGTTTTAACCCTCCCTGTTATTCTGATATTTTCCAAAACTTTTTAAAGATACAATACTGTTTTCAAATGGCATGTCTCTTTGTTTTGTTTTGTTTTTATTTTTTACAAATATTTAGACCTCAAAGGAGTATTAGTCTTCAGGGTGCTTTGAGAGTAGTCCGGGACCTGTGTATTGTATGTGGTTGTGTGTATGTCATTTTGTTAGGAAAAATAAATGTGCTTTAAATTACTTTTCTGGAGTAGAATCCACCTGTCTCATTTTTATTACTTTTATCTCATCATAATCAATCATAAAGCTCCTGTTTGTCTCAGGTAGAAGACAGAATGACTGACTAGTGTTATTCCATACACCATATTGAATGCAATGTAATGTTTCTTGCTATTTTTGGAGAAAGGTAAAAGGCTGCAGCAAACAGTTATTATAGTAGTTGAGTATTCTCTTGATTATTTGGTAAATTAAATTATCTATTCATTGTTTTTACATAGCTAACTCCATATTTATATTGTTTTAGAAAAGCATGATTTATATTCCCACCTCGACACCTTCTCCATCGACTCCCCCGGATGTCTGCTGTCGTTGTGTCCTTGGGCAAGACACTTAACCCCACTTTGCCCAAAGCCCCCACTGAAAGATCAAGGCTATGCTCACACTCAGAGAGCAGCCGTCCTCCTGTGGACTCACCACCTGCAGAGGGTCAGTGAGGGGCTGGTGCTCTGTGACTTGGGTGGCATCTCTGACTGCCACCCCCCTGACCCAGAAATGGATAATATAGGGATGAAAATGAATGAATGAACAAGTGCAGAAGTGTGTTCTATAACTTGATGTGCAACAGTTTTAAAAAACTACTTTTAAACCCGACCCCACTCTTAAGAAACAATGAATATTCTTTGTTCTACTAATTGTTCTTATGACCAGTGTTTTTTATGGTTTGTTATTGTTGTTGTACATGATGTAAATGTGTTTAATGTGTGCCTGAAATACACTATACTATGTAAAAACAAGTATTTAAGAATAATAGAATCATTGTTTGCTGTCGACTGAAAAATATTATCATGTGCATATGTATGTAAATGAACACAAAATTAATGTAAAAAATATCATTTGTAACCACATATTGCTGCTGTTCTTGAAAGGTGTAGCTACATAGTTAATATATCTATCTTATTATTCAGATGGCTGGAGGTTTGAGTTTATTTGCAAATAGTGCTACAGCTACTTAACCAATAAAAATTTCCACAACGGCAGATTATTGCTTTTATTTTTACTTAACCTGTTCTCAATTGTATCTTGTCGATGTATTTTGTTTTTTGTATTCAATGTTCCACCTTCAATCTCATGTGGTCCTGTTGCGTTAAGCAGAAACAGCAGACATATGCTGCCCCCGTGTGGTGAAACGCCGTCATCACAAAGAAAGCACATTTCAAGATCTGTAAACCATTTTTATTTACATGACATCTTTGCAGAATATAGCTTATAGGATAAATCGGTGCATTTCATCTACAAATAATCGTCCATAGATAGTGAGTGCATGTTGTTTCAATAAATAATATCACTATAATAAAACCTATACTTTTTGCTTATTGCTCATCCACTGATCTCTGAAGATAAGACTGGTTCCACAGAGACTCCATCACGCTACAGAGGTTCTGGTTCTATCCAAATGTACGACATGACCGTAGCAGTGTGCATCGTTCATAAATATTACGTGAGGAAAACAATGGCAGGAGTTCTGCGAGGGAGTGCGTTCATGTGGGCGTGCTGAAGAACAGATAAAGAGCTGGAGTGAAGATAAGAACCGTTCCCAGGATGGAGACCGTGAGGAAGGCCCAAAGGAAGATTCTGTCCAGCACCTGAGCCACAAACTTCCAGTCCTGCACCACCTGAAGAGGGCAGACACACAGTAGTATAGATCAGACATATGCAGAGAGACAGGGCCGTTGTTCAGCACAAAAAGAAACAAAAGAAACCAGTAATTTTCTTTTGATAATTCTCTCTACAAACAGCAAATGGCAGTATTCAGCTTTGGCTTTTTGCTGCAACATGTTGGAACATCATCTAAGGTCAAAGGTGAGATCACTTTCACCATCAAGTCCCCAACCAGAATATTGACCACGTCGAAAACACTATTCTAAACTTGTGCTACCCAGGACTAAAAGCAAATTGTTCTCTTGCTAATAGTTCCGAGCAAGGCATAAATTAGCAAACATTTAGTAAAATTTAGTCTTACATTATTGACAATGATGATTCTAATTCTTGATTTCCTTGTAAAAATGACATATTATTAATTATCAACAAAATACTAGGGCTGTCAAACGATTATTTTTTTAATCGAGTTAATTACAGCTTAAAAATGAATTAATCGTATTTCAAACTATTGGCAAAATTATGCCATATTTTTTTGTAAATGGTTGTTTGAATGGAAAGATAAATGACAGCTTAGTGAACGTATGTACTGTATTTGTTTGTTATAACAATAAATCCATATAAAAGGGAATTAACATTATTTCTGTCTTTCTATTTAGACCAAAACCATTGTTTGTTACAGATGAGGGACATTTCAAAATAGTCTGAAATGCAGAATATCATTACATCTGTTTGATTTGCTCACAACATTACTTTTTTGGCACAACTCACATGAACTGGTTGTCGAAAGGAAATTTAGGTACCTCAGCTTTAATTTAGCGAGTGCGCTTCGGGAGAAGACACGGAGGAGACTGAGGCTCCGCAGTCCAGCTTCAGCGCTGTACATATTGTGTGCATCGGTTACGCAAAGACACGTACGCACACTAGAGAATAGTTCTGTAATAGTTCTGTGCGTGGTCTTGGATATGGTCCCATTACGCAGCGCCGTTCGCCGTGATCACAGCCGCTGGAAGTGGGAACTGTCCAGAGCGCTATCGCGCCCGCAGCTCATCATGCAGAGTTCATACAGGAAACAATAAGTGCCCCGCGGTCACGCGTGTATTCTTTCAAAACTTGAATTCCCAGAGGAATCTCTGCTCTGTCCCCATCTTACACACGCGCATGTGTCCGCGGCATTCTGAGTGATATTATGGGACGCATGGGCATGCGTCAAATGCGTTAATTTTGTTAACGCGATTAATGAAAACAATTAATTAACGTGCGTTAACGCGATAATTTTGACAGCCCTACAAATACACAAAGTAGCTTTCTAATTTTGTTGATTTTTCATGCGCTCCCTTTGATCAGCACCAATCCCTCACTCACACCAGGTTCCTACTTATTCACTAGAAAGCATTCACATCAAGGCATTTGGAAGGTTTTCAGTTCTCAGTTGGGCATAGTGTAGCTGCCTTATATACTTCCCATAATCTAATATCTGACAATTTTTTTGACCAAAAATCACCTCTCTAATAAAGTGCTCCTTCTTGATGTGGCGGCTGATGTAGCGCACTGAGTTAGTGGCTTTCTCCAGCATCGTGAGCCAGTCCTCCTCCTCCTTGGCTCCCAGAGTGCACCTCTGCCCTGGGACCCCCTTCTTCACCCCTCGGCGAGACTTTGGCTCCGGGCTGCGCAGCTCGATGTCGGGGAAGTGGAATCTGCATCACCATGGGAACACAATTAGAACACACTACATTAGAAAATGAAAACACAATAATTGTTTAAAATTAAATAAAAAGGTGCATGTGCTGTCATGGTTTAAATTTACTGTATATACACTTTGTTTCATCTTGGACTGGGCTGGTTTTAAACACAAACTCAAGCCATTTTTTTTCATTTTATCGATTACTTGAAGGACACCTCCCTTACGTGGATGTCATAGACTTTATTTCTACACAATTAAAGTTTTACTATGGATAATATAGATTTAATAAACTTCTTCCCATTGTTCCTTTGAGGCACTTTTACATGTATATGTAAAAGTGCCTCAAAGGAACATGTATTCATGTACATATTAACATGTACATGAAACTATTAATGTCCTCTCAATCTTTGGGAGAGTGAGAGGACAAATGCCCAAAAAAATAACAATTGTAAACCGCTTTGTGACTCTGGTTTGTGAAAGGCGGTATATATAAATAAATAAAGATTACTTACTTACTTACTTATTATGATCAACTAACTTTGTAACTGTATACTAAAAAACATTCTGGATTCCACTCTAAATACCCAAAAAAGACATTTAAAGTAGGCGTTTACAAATAAATATATTTTCCATTCTTCAGCATAACGTGGTGCACACAGTTGAAAATTATTTGGCAGAATTTTCTGTTAATTGTCATAATTAAAATATGTCAAACCTTTTTATGGTTCATATTTTGCTATGGAATTTGAACATGAAATAAACATTTACAACAAACTCAAATCGCTTCTCAGATTAAATAAACACCTTGAATTTGTAAATATGTTTGCAGCAAAAACTATTTAAGTGGCACATATTCCAAACTTAAAGGCAACTTTATGGCAACTATCAATAAAAACAAATGATGATCAAGTTCAAACATTTGTATTTAAAACATGATAGACTTCTATAAAAAAAACACATAAAAGGAAACAGATAAAAAGACGTTTGAGAGAAGAGCGACCTGTCGGTGTGTCCTCTCATGCACAGCAGGCGGGGCAGTCTCTGCAGGAACAGGCTCTTTACCCAGGGGGCCATGGGGTGGTACGTGGTGGAGGAGCGGTGGTGCACGTTTATGACAAACACCGTGACGATGATGGAGAAGGTGACAAAGATCATGATGAAGAGCAGATACTCACCGATTAAAGGAATCACCTGAAACACAAAGACACAAAGAACCAAAGCAGCCGTTAAGAAGTCTCAAAGCAGTTACAATGTTAATTTTGTTCGTTTACATCCATCCATCTCTCCATTTTCTTCTGCTTTATCTGCTTCCGGGTCTATTTCCTTGAGGAGGCACCAGTCTGAGAATTCATAGAAAAATGTATGATGAAACAAAAATGTAAGAAAATAATGAATCTTTTAAATAGATTGTGTTTAATGAACTGATTCCAACTTAAAACTAATTCAAACTGATTAAAATGTCCTCCACAAAATCTCCTGCAAAAAACCGTGTATGTCTGGGATCAGTATTCTTCATGACCTTCAAAGATCTTTTATACAATCTGAACAGATCTGAAATTGATAGAATAAAATAATTACTGTTGGGCAATTAATCTATTAATTATGCATCATGCTCCTAAGACTGCAGGTAAAAGATTGTGGTGCTCTAACGATCTTAGTCAAACCAATTAAGATTTTAATTAAGATCAAGTAGGAACTTTAACAATACTGTAATTACAATATGCAGCTCTCTCTTTGGAAAATGAATAAATTACTTAGTTTTTTTATCGTTGCCTTTTTAACATTGTGACATACAGTATATTCTACTTTTTTCTCTTGTAGACCTTACTAGTCCTGAATCGGTCGATACTTTCTAACTCAACAATTGTTTGGAATAGACATCTTATTATAATTATTCCATGCAAAAACTGCATACGTGAAAATACATGGTTTTTACTTTAATATTCAAGCCGGATCAATTCACACATTAATTTATGGTATATTTTATTGCTACATGTTTCAGTGGATTAACTCCTCACATTTTTTTTTTTTAAATTTAATTCAATCAAATTCAAAATACATCTGAAAAACTGGTTGATAACACAACAGACTTGTAAGCATTAGTCTATAGGTCTTTGCCTGTCAGAACCGCTGCTCGTGTCCTTCTCTGCTTTTTCTGATCACTTTGTAAATATCTCTTGCTGGATGTGAACTGTGTTTTTATTATTGTGTGATGTTTTTCTTGCTCTCCCTTATATGCTGTGTTTTTCTGCATTTTATTATTGAATGAATTTTTAATGTTATTATCCTTTGGTAGGCCATCCATCCATCCATTTTCTACCCTTTAATCCATTTCTGGGTCAGGGGGGTGACAGTCAGAGAAGCCACCCAAGTCTCATAGCACCTTTGGTAGGCTATGCGTTTAAAAAACAAACTGTCCAGGCACGGCTGATGAAAAATAACTTTGCTAGATCTGGTGCATTCATAGACATTTTTTTTAATGCAATGTCCCTGTCAAATAAACTAATAAACAATAAAATAAATTGAATCCAAGTGTTGCAAGTTGTTTTTTAAATGACTAATCAAAGGGCATGTTTTAGCCAACTAAAGAATTTATCTTGGAGACTAAAGCTCCAGGAATTGTAGCAGTATACAAAACTACACTATATCTATAGTTTTATTGTTTTTACGGCAATACATTTTTTTTGTCCAACAAGGTTCATTTGGTCTTCTGAAACTTTCTTCTATCTATTTATTTTTTTCACTAGACTGGTCACAGAAACGTAACAGGAACATCACAAGACCACTCTGAGAAAGTATATGTACAGTATGTACAAAAAAACAACTTGTAGAGTAACATTTTTAGGAAATTAGATTTTGTTAATTTGAAGACGGCCCCTGACAGCAACATAAAGACTTGGAGTAAATCTGTATGTATCTGTGCAGTTTATCCTCTACCCACCTTAGAAGAGGACGGTATGATTTCTTCTATGACCAACAGGAACACAGTCAGAGACACCAGCACGGACGTGGACAGAGACAGTTTCTCGCCCTCGTCCGATGGGAGATAAAACACAAGGACAGTCAAGAAGGACAGCCCTAAACACGGGATTATCAGGAACAGCGTGTAGAACAGTGGCAGCCTTTTGAGGATGAAGGAGTACGTGACAAAGGGGTACCAATACATCTCGTCCCGCCTGCTTCCCCTCGCCCCCGTGGCGTTCAGAATCTCCCACTCGCCGTTGTCGAAGAAGTCTTTGCGGTCGACGTAGTGGTCCACCAACACCAGGTCCACCATATTGCCGTCATAAGTCCAAGAGCCGAATTTCATGGGGCAGTTTTGTCGATCGAAGGGGAAAAAGGTGACATCCATGGTGCAGGAAGATTTGTAGCTGGCAGGCGGCGTCCAGGTGATTGTGCCATCCCAGCGGACTATGGCTTTGGTCATGAGGGAGCCTTCGAAGCGGCCGTCAGCACTGGGACAGATGACATGTTTGGGTTATTAAAGCTGGGGTACCTAACGCTTACACATCACAGAAATTAAACTTTGTATTATTTTTTTTTTGACATGATCCTCCATCCATCTATCTTCTTCCCCTTAATCCATTTCTGGGTCAGGGGGGTGGCAGTCAGAGCTGCACCCAGTTCACATTGCACCAGCCCCTCACTGATCCTCCTGCAGGTGGTGACTCCACAGGAGCCTTGATCTTTCAGCGGGGGCTTTGGGCAAAGTGGGGTTAAGTGTCTTGCCCAAGGACACAACAACAGCAGACATCAGTGGGAGTTGGTGGAGAACCCACAACCTTCAGGCTCAAAGGCCAATACTCTACCAACGGAGCCACTGTCGCCCCCAAGTCGTTCCTGACTTGATCCTCACTCTCAAAAACGTGTTTCTACAGAATCCCATGCATGTATTTTTGTATTTTTGCATGAATGAGACAAAGATTGAACCACCCTCATCAGGAAATCAGTTCTGAGCCCAAACTGTAAAATAGTGACTCAGGGTTCTTTCTATTAAGTGTCTTCTTGTAAGATAGGGCTAACCACAGTGGCTAATGCTTCTACTTCACAACAAGGATTCAAATCCACCTCCAGACCTTTCTGTGTTGAGTTTGCATGTTCTCCCTGCAAAGAGTTCCTCAAGATACTCCAGTTCCCCTTACCACTAAAAACATGTACAATTGGACTGAAAATTATGATAGCGTGAAGGGATTGTGCTGGATGGAGATTTTCAACGCACCAGTGTGTGATAGTCATTTACATGACTTTTTTCAGTTGGGAAAAAGTCATTTGAGTCAGTTTTCAGTTGGGAAAGAAATCAAGAAAAAAAGGTATGTAGCCCAGCTGGAAGTGCTTAAGTGTCAAGTATGGGCATGGGTAAGTGGGACTTACTTCTCATAGAGGACAATGTCTGGGAGCCATATTGTTTCAGATGGTACACGGATAGAGGTAATGCCGCCATACTCGTCTGGGTTCCACTTAAGTTTGACATCAATCCATTCCTACACAAATGAATACATACAAAACATTAAAAAATAAACCTATAACCCTTATAGCCACCACAAAAGTGTGCATCAAAGTGGAGGAGCAGTTTTAAACATATTTCAGGCAATAGGAACATTTACTCAGCATAAATTATATTAAATGTGTCGGGTTAGAGTTGTGGATTGTTGTAACAAAGTAGAAATTTACATTGAGTTACATCCCATTGTGGACTGAGGTCAGAAATGGTCAGAAAACCGCCAAATGAATGAAGTTTTCAGCACCATGGAAAGTGCTATGTGCGGCTAATACAACCACTGCTTTTTTGTAGTAATGAGGCCTTGATTATTTTCAATTTTCATTTTTGAAATGTTAAAGAATGTAATTTCACCTGAAAATTTGCTAAATTATGTTTTTCTTTAAAGCTAGAAAACTGCTCTGAGCAGGACGTAGAAGGATTACAATTACATCATATCAAACAGGTTTGAGACAGCAGCATTTAGAAAGAAGGGGCGGAGTCACATGTCTGTGCCTGAAGTTTCTGATATGAGCGTGGATGGAAGCTGAGGAGGCCTTTTGACTTACCTGCCAGAGCCACACATTCGTGGTCATCAGCTGATTCTTCTCGTCCTGTAAAAAAGCACACATTTCGTTCACAAGTTAAGTCATTTATAGAAACTTACTGTGCAGTGAAAAGGCTAATGAGGAGGTGAGCGGCTGGAAATGAACATTTTAATGAGATAAAAGGAAAAAAAAATCTAGTTGGAAAGAAGTATATATTTTGCGTCCAAACGGGGCTAATTACCTCTCTGGACACCAGTAAAGTGAGCAAAGCAGCAAAGTGGAACAGCCCAGGGTTAAGTGCTTTGCTTCAGGCATATATCCACAACCGTTAATGAGAGAGGAATATTTTGTACTGTCCCAGCAGCTTGATAACGTAATACAACATTGTGTGGTGCCTTCTTAAGAGCTTAAGGAAATGAAAGAGAGAAGTTGATTTTACATTACTGTACTTTAAGTGTAGAACTTTCTTTACTGTTCTACGCATGAAACAGGATTATTAAAACATTAACATGACGTATAAAGCACCTTCAGCACCATGGACAGCGCCAGAAAGTGGCTACCTCACAGTAGAGTTTCGTTCGGGCCTGAAAAATGAAGCCCGACCCGGCCCGAGCCCGCTAATGTTAAGCCCGAGCCCGTATAAGCCCGACCAATGAACTCTGTATAACAGGCCCGAGCCCGACAGAACCCGACACATCTGATTTCCCGTTGTACGCACTCACCTTCCAATTGCAAGTTTAGTCTCCACTTGATCCATTTCTACTATTGTTCCTGTTCGCTGTTGACCACAGCATGCAGCAGGAGACACGGGGATGATGCGTTCACGGCTCGCTGCTGCTGTAGGACACGCTGGTTACGGTGTCATTAATATATTCACTTTTTTTAATAACTTGTTGTCAATCAACGGACATTGTTATTAATATATATATATATATATATATATATATATATATATATATATATATATATATATATATATATGCAAATCATTATGTATAAAAATCATTTAAAAATAATTATAATAATAATAAAAAAACAAACATATATTTAAAAAAAGAAGCCCGAGCCCGGCACGAACCCGACAGCTGAGCGCCAAATGAGGCCCGAGCCCGGCCCGAACTCAGGTCGGGCCTCGGGCCTGCTCGGGCTCGGGCTGAAAAGCGAAACTCTACCTCACAGTGAGTGAATATTGTATTTTCCCAAGTATTTCGGTGCCGGAATTGTTTTGAGACTTCATGTTGAGTACACCAAAGTTGGAGCCCTGAAAGTTTGTTAGAGATAGGAACAGAGGAAAAATGTGAGGAAACATTTGTGGGAGTGCTGTAGAGAAAGCGTCCTAAATGGTTGACTATTTATCCATTTATTTGGTCATTTATTTGGTAAATATTATTTGTTTGACTCATTCCATATGTATTATTTGGATGAAACAGAAAATAAACGAGTAGGTATACATAGTTCCCACATGACGTCACTACATACGGGGATTTGCTGACCCGGCGACATTTGTATTGGCATTCTGTGGGCAAAACAATAGAAAAAGAAGCTGAAACGTGTTAATGTCGTGATAAAGTTGAAAATGGTCATCTCCTGCTGGGTCAATGGATGTTCAAATCGTGCCGGAGGTTCCGTTAAACTTGGATTTTACAGTATACCCATCATTAGACTTCATGAATGTGAGAAGACTAAGCTTTTGTCAGAACAACCACGGAGGTTATGGCTTGCGAAGATAAACAGGCAAGAAACTCCCTCAAAACACGCAAGAATATGCTCGGAGCACTTTGTGTCAGGTGCGTATCGTATCTTATAATGTGTTGACAGACGTAATTTACTCAGTACTAACTTGTGTATGCTGATATCTGGTAACTTGAGAGTTTCATTATTTAGCGTTAGATTACTTTATTATGAGGAGGATCGGTGTCGCGTCCGAGGCTCTCGAGGGCAACGTAAATGTATTAAATAGATAATAATAGTTCTATGGTGGGCTAAAACAATGTTCACAAACAGCATTGCTTCTGTAAAAAGATCTGTGTCATAAAATAAACTGCTCTTTACGCCTGGAAAAATCAGTTGCCCACCATTCACCAAAACATACGGTCAAAAACGCGGAAATAAACAATAACAGCAATCCAGAGTGTCCGTGTGGCATTAGCATTAATTAAATTAATTGTTAATATAATTACAATAATTAAATGGAGCTCCAACTGGTATTAAATTTAAAGTTTTTGAGAAATGTTTGCATTGCTTGTTAATTTTTGCTGCATAATTTGATCAAATATGTAAAACATGTCCGTAGCACGTTAAACTGTGGTGCCATTGTATTAATATACAATTATTTGCTCAAAAGTTGCCCTTTTTTTCCAATTTGCGTTTGAATATCTACATTTATTCTCATTCTTCTGTTTAATGGAATGCACAAACACAGCAGCGTGCCATCAAAGATGGCGTCTCCGAGGAGGTCATGTGACATTCATTGGTCTGTGGGAACTATGTATTGTCAGAAACCTCAAAACACCAGTTCACCATGGCCTCCACAAGATGGCACTTCACTAAATGTGGCACATAATACAGTGGTAAAACGCTGATGCAGTCAGATTGTGGCTTGAGTGTGGTTGGGGCTGTGACCTGTGAGTAGGTGTGTAAATAATAAATGTGCAGTGGTTCCTCATGATGCGTTCAGGTTTGGCTCTCTCCACCTCTGCTCCTCTGTCTGGTTCTGTCTGAGCTTTTCACCCTTTCTCACGTCTGCGTCTTCAGTGGAGACTTGTAAATGTATCGACTTCCTCTTGATGCTACAATCTCTGAGTTTCGACCCCTCCTTACAGTCCCCAGGCTATCGCTAAGACAGCATCAGATAGTATTGTAGGAGGCTGAAAATGACCTGTTTGCCCAATGTCTAATGAAAGTGAACAGAGAGGAAAGGACCTTCGCCCTCTCATGTTTTAATGGTATGGCCGACCACGTTTACATACCTGCCATAACTGTGAACTGGTCGCGCATTGTTGCCGCTAACATACTCACTTACATCCGGTTACTGTTATGCGATTCTATCTCCTATTGCCCTGTGCCTGTTTACATCCTGCCAACTTCTGCACTTTATCACGTTATTACGATGACGTTTTTGTTGTTTTTGTGACAAATTATTGAATCTTGAGCCAGATAACAAAAACCCACAAAATGATGACCTGCTGAAAGAGCATAGGTTACGTCCAGCATGGAGGAAAATGGAAGACAAAGGAGACTATTTCCTTTCTGAACCTGCTCAGAAAGGACAGTATGCTGTAGATTCCTCTCCCAGCAATTGCAAGCCTTCAGTTCCTTTCTGCTCCTTGAAGTGGAAGGATCAAAACTTGACTTTCAAGGCCCACACTTGGCTATTTTTTATTATGACATTAAAGGAACATTTGACTGTATTAGCCCGCCAACAGGGAGGTATTGTAATTGTCTCCATTGGACCACACAACTCACGTGGTGTTAAAAGCCAGAGCGTAAACTAAAAACATTCCAACGAGTGAGCTGTTTTGACGTAGGGGGGCAGAGCGTTGCAGAGCTTTGGTCCAGCCACAGACAAGGCCCTGCCTCCCCGGGTGCTAGGTACCACAAGCTGGAGCTGGCCCTCGGACCTCAGCGCAGGGCGGTTGGTAAATTTGGATGAGGTCCAAAACCTCATTCAGACCTTATGTTTGTTGAAAAAGTAAATGCTAAAAACCAAATGCTAACTAGTGTAGGATGAGAATCCAAACCGTTGTTGCTGCTGTTCCATCTACCAGACCAGGACTCTCAGACTGTGATTTTAGTGCCCCCTAGCGGCAACAAAGGACTACACACATTCCAAACTTAAGTGTGCTGTATATGCAACTAAAATGTAAACCCGCATCTCTGTTGTCATTAATCTTTATTGAATTGTGAGTCACGATGTTGGTTGAAGTGTTTGTGCTTTAAACAATTGTGTTTAATATGTCTCATGCCCAGAAGTTCCTGTGTTGTGAAAAGCCGGAAACAGGAAGTGACTACAACGTACCCGCCCCTAAGACTGGAGACAAAACCAGTCTGAATGCAGAGCGCGCCCTCTTGAATTTTTGGCCTTCTTGCTCTCCTCGGCTTTTTGTCTCTCCTGGGTTTCGGCCCTCACGTTCTGTGCCCGCGGCTGGATCCGCGTGTATGAGCTCAAACAGGCTCGTTTCAACTCCCTGAACTTGCTCAATCAACTGCTTTCTCCCCTGCACAACAACAAGCGGGAAGACGCTACACAGCCGTATACTAGGAGACAACAACAAAGGAACTTTTCTGGGATCAAAGCCGGACCACGTGTCCACCAACAAAGAAACTTTACTAAAAGCAACCTTCACACAGTAAGAAGTATCGTTGAATACCGATGTGTTTAAATGTGTCTGCTTTTGGGTTATTTTGCACATTCTTTGAATTGTGACTCACACAGTTTCTTATGCTCTGAGGTTTGTCGTTTGGTAAATAAACAGCTAAATCTCTATCAGCCTCCAGTGTTATTAGTTAGTAGTTTGGAAGATGGGCTCTCTGGCGAATAGAACTCACACTTTGATATTTATGAGATTGATTTTGAAACCCTGCTTGATTCTTTTAGTTGGGTCTTGAGACTTTTCTTTCCCTCTCTTCAGATAGGGTATCTCTATATTAGTCAAAATTAGACCATTCTTAGAACAAGCACACCCTTATAAAAGTAGATATAAGGGAATTTCCAATAAGGAATAGTTACTACCGTGCAGATATGTTAAGATATGTAGTGTATCCAAATACCTGTACATCTAAGACATATATGCATTTAGTTACCCTACACTAGTGTGGATACAGAGTGTGTTGCTATAGGAACCAGGACTCACTCTTCATAGGTAGACCTACTCTCATTTCACAAATAAAATATAATTTTATAAAAATAATGACAGAAATAAACTACTAATAAACAGAAAAAGCCACAATGTTATGAAGACCAATAATGTACATAAGCTGAGAGTTCTAGTGTTAATACTACAATTTCATACAACATGCTCATAAACCTCAAAAACTCATTATTGCCTCATAAATATTTAATCAGGATTACATTCTAAGCCGATTAATAACTTGACCGTACATTCAACAGTTTGTATTAAATCCTAGTATTTTAATTCCAAATAGCAGCTGCTCTATGTACAGTATTGTCTGGCTTTTACAGCGAGCCTCACGATGTATTCTCACAAAGTAATCAGACGACTCGTGTTCCAGTAAATAAGGCCAATCCTCAGAAGGCAGGTTTATGAAGGGCCTTGTATGAGACTGAATTAATTCCTGCAGATGGCCTCCTTAACATGAGCAGCAGTCTGGCTCCAGGTGCTTTAGTGTGTGGCTCTTATTTGCTCATGCACTGACTTTATTTGCACTTCTTACAGTAAGTGTTGTTGTCTTCATCAAATGCACACACAAAGCAAGAACCATTCACTGCATGTTTATTAAAACTTAAAAATTAGTCAATGAACTAGGGTGCATCTATAGACAATTATTAACATTTATGGACATTGGTCATCCTGCTCCCTATATCAACATCAATGTCAAATTTATTTTTATAGCACATTTACAACAACAAACCCTGCCCAAAGTGCCGCACAATAAGATACAAATACAAAAAAAAGGCTATAGTAAAACCCAATCTACAAATATTACAATGTGTTTGTTATTATTGTATTTCCTGTGTTCAAACTGTTTGATTTTCTGATTTGTTTTGGGCAAATCAACAACTTTGTAAAGACTGATATACAAAAATAAATTGTTTTGGAACCAGAATTGAGTCATAGTGCAACTTCAAATGCTGCTGTGCTGTTTAATGGTACACAAATCTACAGATCTACAATCTTTATTAATTAAGAATTATTTATTAAAAATGACTCATCTTCATGTTGGTCCTTGAACACAATGTTGAGAAAAAATATTAAAATAATAATAATCAACAACATAATAAATGGATAAACATGTGTGTTGGATAAAAATAGTATCTCCCTTACTCAATTCCCTTACTCAAAATGACTGCAGTTTCAGTGGACATGAAAAAGGGCGTGGTCTAATTGGAGACACACAGGGGTAAAGAACTTCAATTGGTTGGAAAAATCATAAAGGAGGCAATTGTTATGTTTAAACAGCAAACACTCCATTGTCCCTGACGCCATATAGTATGGATTTGACTTTGAGAGAGCAGTATTTAGATAGAAGGGGTATAATTTCATTTTCATTTTTCATTTTCATTTATTTTGGTTTTTCGGTTTTATAATCATTATGGATGCAGCTAAAATCGACTCCAGGTCCCTCCCAGTGAACAATGAAGTGACATGGCTTCTTTAAGTGTCTTGTGTCTTCTTTAAGTGGAGTACTCACCACGTCGACGAGTTGAGAGATTTTGAGGCCAAAGCGAACGGTGATGGTGTCGTTAGCGTGATGAACGGGCCGAACCCACTTCTGGTATCCATTAAACAGATTCTTCAGCAGAGAATCCTCCAGCTCGGCCAAGGACATGAAGGATTCCTCTGGAGCTGAAAAACACACGCGCAGAGTGATAATGAAAAACAAGGAACGAGACCAACGCATCATGGTTTGTTTTGGTTTTTTTGGTTCTTTTAAAAGACATGTTCAATCCAATCCAATCCACTTTATGCATATACTGTAGCACATTTCATGAACACAGTTTCCAAAGGACTGCACAATAAAATACTAATTAAAAAAAATCACTAGTAAAACAGTAAAAACCTTTAAAGGAGCTGTGTGGAGTTTGCAATGTTTGTGCTCGCGAAGCCCCCTCTGGCCAGATGTGTAACTGCAGCCTCAATGAGAACAGAACAGAAACACCAGATATGGTCCTGTCCTCGACAATTTACAGAATTTGCGGGGATGACTTCAACAGAGGTAAGAAATGTTACTGTTTTGTGAAACGAATGAACGACGTTTGAAAGAGGAACAAAAAAAACGTTTCTATTTTGTAAGTATAAACGTAAGTCTAACTAATAGGAAAAACCGTGTGTGCATATTTGTATGAAAATAGAAATAACAATAAAAGAAAATATAGTAAAAGAAAAGAAAAACATAAAATAAAATAAAAGGACCATACAACTCACGCAGTGTTAAAAGCCAGAGCATAAAAATCGGTCTGAAGACGAGACTTAAAACTCTCCACAGAGGGATCGGTTGGATAAATTATTTGTTAACATGTTTGGGCTTCAGAACGATCACCCGCCTTGGAGTCTGCAGATGGCTCGCAGCTCTGCAGCCCACACATGTAAATAAGGTAATACATCATACTTGTCTTTTAAAATAACCACACACAATAAAAACATTTTCATTCAAGACAAAATGAACCTTTTTGAGTAATTACAGAAGGATCAATGCTATAATACTATGTCTTAAGCCAATGCAGGTATTGTTTTTGTCAGGTCAAGGCTACAACATTTGTGTAAAACATTGACAACATAAATATAATAATAATAACAAATCTTTATTGGTATGGCAGTTTCAAAAAACAGTGTATACAAAGTGCTGCACAGTCAGCGTAAAAGCAGTAAAAATAGTCAAAAACAGTCAATAATTAGTCAGATAAAAATAATTACAGCAGAATAAAGCAGAGAGACAAAAAAGACAAAATAAAGACAAAGTGGGACATTAAAATACAAATGTGAGGTATCAAACTAGCAGGTAGAGGCTGTTCGGTAAAAGTGGGTTTTAAGAAGTGATTTAAAAGAGGATACTGACGGAGCTATTGCCTTATCTCCTCGGGAAGGTCGTTCCAGAGCTGAGGAACCCAGACAGAGAAGGCCCATCACCTTTCGTACGAAGCCTTGACCTTGGAACGATCAACAGGGACCTGCCCGAGGATCTAAGTCTGCAGGAGGGAGGGGCAGGGAGGCTTGTAAGGGGGTAAGACCTCCAAAAGTGCTTGAAAAAGATGGCAGTTGTGACATAAAGACATTAATCGCATAACCCCAAATTTAACATGTTTTTTTGTAAAGTCTGGCAAAAAAATACTCTGTGCTGTTCTTTACAATAATCATACATCCAACTCCTCTCTGTACTTCCTGAATGGACAAAGTGACATCACCTCCTTAAATGACCTCATCCTTGGTCAGTTGTGGTGATTAAGGAGAGGGACTAAATTAAATATATTAGGAAAAATGCATAGAAATATAGATACATTAAGAGACATACATACATGCAATGCTGACATTTAGTTGTATAGCACCCTCCACAGACCAGGATTACTAAGCAGTTATCATTTAAAAACATGCTTTAAGACAGCAAACCGGTGGCTGCAGGTTTCAGTTTCAACCCAAGCAGGAGAACACCAGACTCCACCCATTTCCTCAGGCGAGTCCAGTTTTAACCTGAAGATTTGAGGAAATGGGCAGAGTCTGATGATCCTGCTTGGGTTGGAACTAAAACCTACAGCCACAGACACCAGCCCTTTCTGGAACCGGTTTGGTTTTCCTACTTTAAAACAACACATATATAAGTCATGTACAGAAGCAGGTGTAAGTTGAGGCGAGATGATGATACTTTTCAATCTGTGAAATCAGTGAAAAAAAATCCGCACAGCTATGTTGCTCCCAATAAGTGTCTTGTATTTAGAGAACACAAAGTATAGTGAAGTTTCGGGCTGAGGTCCTTCGTCAGACAATAATTTTCAATCTGTCAATGTCACATCAGGACAGTCCTCCATTATTATTACATGACACAGAGTTTATATTCCAACACTAATACTTGTCCTGAAGCAACAACTCTGAATCCTCAATGTTTGAATTAGACTTGTTTTACACTTGGCCCAACAGGACTCCATCTTCTTTGCTGCACGGGGCAAAAATACATAATTCACCCCTCCTTATATTTGTACATGTTTGAGCGAACACAGTCCCAGTGACGCACGCATACGACGCCGCTCTTAAGTCTGTGAGACATCCTCAGGTCAGAACTAAGTGGTCCCCCCCACATCTGCCTGTCCCAGTGTGGAGCAGACTGACAGCTGCCTAGACACCAATGAGCACCTCTGATCGGGCTGACATGATGCCCTCAGACTGGGCTGTTGCCGCGGGAGACGAGGCTCTGAGCTCTGAGCGCGGCGTTCACTCAACCAAGAGACACGAGAGTGAGTTAGAAGTAACACAGAGCACTCCGCTTCATCATAAGATCACTGTGGTTAGCGGGCTGTAAGAAATAATGGCTACGCTGTGGAAAAATTATGTTTTGAAAAAGTCTCTCACGATTTGGAATAATATGCATTGTGTTTATTCATACACTAAACAGCTCTGACTCTGACAGCATAGCCAACATGACGTGAAATTATTTACTTTTATATAATTGTTGCTTGTCAGAATGAGTAAGGTGTAATGTAAAAGTTGGTAAGTTTCTTCAATTTAAATCATTTCGGGGATGAAAATCTCCAAGTCCACTTGTCTCGACCAGACAACAATGCCTTGGACTACCTGAGGATCAATTTAAATTCAATTCAATTCAAATAACTTTATTCATCCGTGAGGAACCTCTACAACATACAAAGCACCAGTGGGGGTACATAAAAACACAGAAGTATAAATACAGTAAAAGAGCAGAAATTCAATATAAAATACATAAAACAGGTCTCCTAATCATCTGTTTACAAGGCAAATTGAGGTGGGGAGGAAGCTGGATGTAGCCCTTTCTGTTTTGAATGGGAGGGACCTGAACCTACGCCCTGATGGGAGCAGACTAGTGAGAGTGGAGCTGTCTGTGGAGATCTGGGAGCCTTTCCTTAAAACGCTGTTATTGCAAATGACTGTGAGTGAGTCTTGCTGCTGTACAACGTTTGTCCAATGTTTACAAGGGAGGGAAAGATGGAATGAGATTTTAACCGACGGATGAATTCAGCATCAACCTGCTTTTTTGTTTTGTATACAACAGTAGAGCTGCACTACACAATATCTCAAAATAGCAAACTTATATTTAGTGCAAAAGTAATACAATTTGAGAGATAGATGTTTATAGAAAAATACTTTACTTGCAGAACTTCTTCCCCTTTATTAATCCATTTCTGGGTCGGGGGGGTTGTCAGTCAGAGCTGCCACCCACTTTTAAAATTTCCCCAAATAAGTTGAAAAACGGCAACAGACCAATACTACAGAACACACAAGAAGGAGCATCTGCTGTCACCCTGATACTTAGACATTTCTGTCCTTCTACAAAAAAGTCACTCAGAGCAAATTTTTCACACTTCAATTTCAAGGATGAGGTGTTTATTTACTTGACACACACTTCTCCAGCTGGCAGCTTTCAACAGTTGCACTCGTCATTTTCAAACTTTTTCACTTTCACTAATGAAGACAAAAACGTGCAATGAGACTTGGATGCACTTTATTGCTCGTGTATTTTCTGTGTACAGAGCAGAAAACAAAGATGAACTGGGAAAGGACTGATGCACATTTAAACGTCTTCCCAGAAGAGCACGGTGATTTGTGGTACAAGCTGAAGATCTGATGAAGTTGCTTGAGTGAACTGTTGAAGAGGAAATGGGCTGCACAGTCAAAGGCTTTGGTGGAGTTCTGAACGCAAAGGAATAGGGAAAAAAATAGCAAATATGAAATGAAAAAACTCACTTAAAAATGACCATGAAGAAGACACATTATTATAAAAATGTTTTAGTAGGAATAGCACAAGTTTACAGTGAGATTCCAACTTCCCAAAGCATTGGATTAGTGCATTAAGAGTGTAGATTCTTGGCAAGGACGAGAGCTGTCTGGATGACGGCAGAGGGCCAAACCAAGTTCAAGTAATCGTGCAGCTCTCTGCGGTCCAGATGTATGGAGCGAGCTGATAAGAGCAGGAGCAAGGACAGAGTGACCCACGGCTGGTCCCTGCAGACCAGGACAGCGGATATGACTGTGCAGGGGGCATGGACACTGTACGCATGCAGCAAAATATAGACAAAAAAATCTTGAATTGAAGCATGGAGCTTGTATTATGTCATACTTTGAGTCAAACAAACATTGTATCCTTGATCCATCGGGAACTTTCAGATTAAGATACAATAATGACTTGAATTGAGAATTTATTGAGATTGATTGATTTGCCTTTTACAGTAAAACCACATTGGAATACATACACAAGAGTTCCTATTGTGCGCAAGACAAGTACATACATAAAACAAGGTTAAAAGTATATACACAAAACAAACAAAACAGGAAGCAACTGACACTGTGAAATCGATCGACTAAAACAGTTTCAATACAAAGGCAGGATTATTTGAACTGCTCTTTCGTGGAGAGAAGCAGTTAGCATGTTAGCATATCGAGATATCCTGCATCTCAGCAAACTACAGTATACAGTATCTTCTGCCAGAGGGAAAAAGCTGGAACATGGCTTTTCCAGGGGCTAGAAGAGTCATTGATTATTCGAAGAGCTTGGTTTAAAAGTCTGGATGTATAAAGAACCTCCAGAACAGACGGCTCACAGCTGTGTTTGTTTGTTGTAGTATACAGAGCATAAAGAAATCTGAAAACCTTTTTTTAAATCATCTGGAAAGTCTGAGTTTGAACACAACTAGGTCTGACCTAACATCACATAATGATACGTGAAAATAATTACACTACTTTTACAAACTGTATGTATCATTGAATTAAGATTAACAGCAGAATAGGAGTATAAAGCTGTAACAGTGACTTCAACAATCATTTACAACACTGTAAAATAACAAACCTAGACACTCAAAAGTCACATGTGTGTCAGAGGAAACAATATGAGTCATGGAAGTTTGCGAATGGATCCAGCAGCGATTGCAATTATAGCAGTTTGTTTCCATCTAAATTACCAATGATGTATGAATATTTCAGGAGTACGCACCAACGCTTAGAACCACTATTACTGACCTCTGCTAAAACGTGATGTAAGCTCCAGTAAGCAAGAAAGAACATCTAAATCGCACAACTATGGAGCAAAGATTAAAACTTTGATTCTTCAGTCTGCACAGAAGTTTCCTCTTTCATTACGTAAATAGCGCTGGTTTCTTCTTATTGCATCAGAGCAGCAGGAAAGCCCTTATTTGGCATTTGAAGATTACATGGCTACGGGTCTTTCCATTGCTCGAATCTTCCTTAAATTATTTCCGAAACACATCTGGATCAACGGTAAAGCCACAGAACACACTGCAGTGCCACATGCATGTGGGAGTATCCTCTGCTTCTAATGACTTTGTGAAGCACCTTTTGCATTTTTAAACAGTTGGAATTGGTTTTGTCTACAATAGAAAGAGGAGATAGTGAGAGAATTCATTTTTAAGCATGGTCATTTGAAAGTGAAAATAAACAGGCATCCCAACTCAAACATCTGAATCCCCTTCTTACTATTCAGATGTTATTGCTTGATATTAAATTATATATTAATTAATATTAATTTCCTTTTTCATATACTCAAAACACTGAATTCAAACATTGGATCTGCTCCCCTCTCACAGAAAACCCTAACTTCAATCTTACTTCAGATATAAGTTATTTTAAATAGATTTTTCCCAGTAAGTGAATATTACTCATTTATTGTTTATTTAAAGCTTGGCTATATCACTCAGGATTTTCTTTGAATTGAACTGTCTCTGTTCAAGTAAGCCTCACTTTTGACATTTTGACGTGTAGACTCTTTAATAAAGCAGGTATACTGGTGACAGGGTGGCCCAGTGGCTGAGTGGGTTGCACCATCACCTTTCAACTACGAGAATCTAAGTTCAAATCCTGGCCGGAGCTTAATTTGAACTTTAATATTTATTTCAACCACTTGAGTTTACTTGGTAATATCAAGTAAAAGATGTACTCAAAGAATTCAAGTGAAGTTAATATGCAATTTATTTCCATGGGCTTTTCAAGTAAACTTTACTTGTCAGGCATGTACAGAAACTAAGCTCAGTGAAGTCTCCTGCTTGTGTTGATAGAACTATAAATACAACACTATTTATTGCTATGACAACTAATAATACTACTAATACAACACCAGACAAGTTGCTCAATGCACTTTTGGTGATTTTTTGGTCTCAAAACTTGAATTCTTGCATTTCCGTTGCTTCTTATTACAGATTATAGACTGCTTCCTTACTATGTTAAAGCTAGAGATTTTATTTCATTTAGTAGAAAGTTTAGTATAGAGCTGTGTTCATTGATATAATCCTGTGCTGTGTTCATGTGTATGTTTTATTTTTTCTTTTGTTTTCTTTTATAAACATGTACCTTGTGCTGTGTGCTCCTCATTCTTGCTCTTCTGCAACCGGTGATGCAACACTGAAATATCCCCACTGTGGTAAGAATAAATAATCTCTTAATCTTAATATATAGTGCAAATATTGAGCCTTTTCCCAGCATGTTTCAGCACAATTATGATGGATTTCCATGTTACTTGAATATCGCAATCAAAGCAATAATATTTGTCAGTATAGCCCACCCCTGTGCAAAACATGGCAAAATACTGTATTGTATTCACATAATATTGAAAACAAATGATAACTTATTTGCACTAAACTTAACCATGTCTATTTCTTCATATAAGCTCAGTGGTTCAAATGATAAAGACTGTCCGGTGTAACAATATACTGAGACAAAATGTATAAGTCAGCATGCAAAAACTAGTGTGTGATGGAGGCTAAGGTGAAGGGGAGAATATTGATTTACCCGTGCAGCCGGATGGCCGGGGGGAGGGGGAAGAAATTATAATGCAATGCAATGTGACTCTGTGTGCATGTGGGCAATACACATAGGCCCTATAGGACAAACAGTGCTGCTGATTGATACTGACGCAGGGGTGACCCAGCATCCAACCACTGCCCTGCCTCCTCCCCCCCCACCGCCTGCCAGCCCCCCCACGGGTAACGCTGTCCTTTCATCATCTCCACGCTGCTTCCATATGTTCGTTACGGAGTCATACAGTGAGACGACGAGAGGAGAGGGCTATAAATGGACATGGATCTACTGTTATTGGGGAATATTCCAACAACACATGTGTAAAGTGGCATCTATTGGTTAAGTCGTGAAATCCTGTTTCAAATTTGATCACGTGCATTTGTGTAGTCTACTTAGTTAGGAACAAAAACACTCTGATATCACACTAGTATACACTATTCCAGCAGCTATTCCAGATATAGCGCCCTATACAGTAAAGCCATGATGTTGCATTTTTAAAGCCATTTGTTTGCGAGATAATAGATTTATCTCGACATATTGATCCAAGCCCGGAGGGATGTTAAGAGTCACTTTGTGTCGTCCATAATTAAAATGTATTGTGACCTGTGTAAAATACTGGGACTGAGAGGACCTATTTAGACATTATCAGCATTTAGCAAAGATATAACAAGACAGTTGAAACCACAGCTTCTACTGCGTGTATTTATTTTACATGAGGTAGAGATGTGAATGCTATTGTATGATTTTATTTCCACGCTGAGGGACAAATAAAGGTTAATCTTATCTTATTTTTAGTCCTACAGATACAGTGCACAACAAACATTAGCCAAAAGGGGAGATGCATTGTACCAGAATATAGCAGGAGTGCAATTCTACACCTGTAGTTTTTTGAGCAGGTTGGTGTCACAGTCAAACAAAAGTGATGGATACAACAATGCCAGATAGATGTAGAATACCGTGAATACAGATGTTATTGTTTATAATAGCATAATAGGAGCTTCATCTATACACATCGGCAGAAAAGCTGCTTTAAGTTGTATTTGGCAGAGGCCACTGAATGAGTGCCAAAGTCCAAATGTCACTTCATCTAATTATGAAAAGATCTTTAGGCGAAAACACAGACTTAGAAACCTTATAGCCTAACCCTATATCTTAACCAAGGATTTTCTTCTTCAATCAGGTTTCTTCAACTCAAGTCTTCACATGATTTATGATCCAGAGTAGAAGCCAATGTCCCAGAGTCAAAGCAATAATTTACCACCACCCCAACAGCAGTCTACACCACAGTAATATATGAGCAGCCTGGTACATTTAAATAACTTTATCACCAAATCCCCCTCAGTCTAACACAAGGATGGACCCATGCATTAAAAGCACATGAGATTTATTATTACTGTAAAGTTCAAGGGGGGAAGAGTCGTCACATGGAGAACAGCTTGCATCTGTCTCTAGGGGGCGCTCTGCCACCGCTCGTAAATAAATCATGAGCCTCACACCTGACCCCACCGTCTGTCCTCGTGTCTCAACGCAAACCTTAAGTGTTTTTTTTTTTAGCTTTAACAATAACACACACACACACACACACACACACACACACACACACACACACACAGAGAGAGAGACAAGCTACTTCCACTCCTTGCGTTTACACTCTCTCTGTTAATTAGACTAATGAGGCGAAAATACGACGGCATCTGCTGCGCTTTGGACGCGTAAAATGCATTTCTGTCAGTCGCTTTATGATTCTTTCCTCTCGCTTTCGCCTCTTCTAACACTTTCTTGTGCCTGAAATAGCTGAACCCAGACAGTTTGCCACTATCAACAGTTCAAAAAGCATGCCCACAGTGCGCGCTTACCCGGTGTGGCCCCATCTCCGCGCGTAAAGCACAAGAACAGCAGCGCCAACGTCAACTTCATGCTTTCCCTTCAGCGTCCTCCGCGATCACAGCCGGTCACCGTGGACAGGTCCCGTCTGGCGCATTCTCTTGCTGGGTTCAGTGGCGACGCGCAGTCCGCTTCTGGTCCGCTTCTGGTCTGCTTTTGGTCTGCCCACACTGAGCACAAGCCTGTTATGTGTGAGGCTTCTCTTCCTCCTGCTCTGTCGCTTCTCCCTGCAGCCTCTGGAGCGCGTGTCCCAGCCGGCGAGGGACTGAGGACCAGAAAGAGGAGAAGGGGGAGAGGGGGGAGAGGATTTTTTTCGTGTGTGTGTGTGGCTTTTTCTAGTTTTATTGGTGGTTTTTGCAGTTTTTTTTTTTAGTTTAGTTTGAGACATTATTGCTTCAGTGTGATATAGTGATATAAAACATTTGCTTTTTTTTGTTGCATGTTTTTTTTTACTACTCGAAAACCTGAATTCTTACATTGGATCTGCTCCCCTCTTCACACAGCAATGGCATGTATAACTTAGCTTAGTGAAGTTACTTGCTTGCCTCCTATATTGATAGAGCTATAAATACTATGCCATTTACTGCATATTTTTAAGTAATTAAGTAAGTTAACTTTGTTTCATTTAACGCATTTTACAGACCAAGGTCACCCGAAGCGCTTTACAATGTCCAGAGTTCAGCTATTTTTCCATTCTCTCCACACACGGTGATGACAGAAGTGAGATGTCGAACACACTGTTGCATCAAAGTTCCCAACTAGCACCATCCATTCACTCACTCACTACATTCATACCTATTGTACATGTTTTTAGTGGTAGGGGAAACCGGAGCACCCGGAGGAAACCTACGCAGACAAGGGGAGAACATACAAACTCCACACAGAAAGGCATGGAGGTGGAATCGAACCCAGGATCTTCTTGCTACGAAACACACTACTACTACCACTACTACTACTACTACTACTACTATTACTACTTCTTCTTCAATACATAACAACACCAGGGGATACTTGTGCAATGCACCTTTAGAGTTTTATTTGCTGTGACCTGCAATTTCCTGTGGTAAATGTGACTATATCCAACATCATATTCTCAACTTTACACTTTTGTTGTTGAGAACGTGGATAAATATAGGTTACCCTTGCCTTACCTTGCCCCGAATACTGCTCAGTATTCTATTGTTAGTATCCAAAAAAAAAAAAAAAATGCTGTGTTCTTGTAGTTAAAACTGGAACATGCTCCAATTTACAGTAGCCAAATTCATGCCCTGGACAGTTTTCCAAGATATATCTGATCTGAAAGGAAAGTTTTTACTCTGAGTGAGCCATTTGGAGAGGGAAAACTTTGGTGTATACTTCCAATTTGTTTCATTATATTTGAACTGTATTTATATTTGTATCTTTCTTTTTAATGTACTGGGATTATCCATGATGTTAATGCTATTGTTTTGTGTAGCACTTTGAGTTGCCTTGTGTATGAATTGTGCTATACAAATAAGCTTACCTTGCCTTATATTAATATGGTCTCATAACATTTCTGATATAATAGCATTTGAATGTCAACATTTAACATAAAATCATCTTGAATACAATATCAGCTGCTGCATATTAATCCTTTAGGGTTAAATGAAAATGTGTGTAAAACAGACAAAAGGTGCAGCTCAGAAACATTGAGAAACATTAAGATCAATAATTGTTTGTCAGAAATGTGGTCGCTGTAGAGAAAGTATCCTAAGCGCCAGTGCATAAGTGAGATATTGATGAGTACAATGCATTAGTCAGTTTAAATAATATATGTTTTAATGTAAGTTTGCCAAATGATAAATTGATGAAAAGGATGTATACTGTATATTTTCAACTGAAATAAAACATAATATCTTGGTATTCATTATTCTGAAATCGCATTTACTACAATAATTAGAGATCTACTGTCAGTGTTTATGATGTCAAGTGCCGTGACAGCGTCTTGACTACAATTGAAAATGATGACTGGATTTAGTAGATACATGTGGGATGTAAACAATAGAATATTACAAGTTCTCTAAAGTCTTATTCAACAGTACATTTCCAGTCGATTTTCTTTCCCAAAGCTTTATATTCCATCATGTCGTTACAACAACCATGGGCTTGAAATGTGCTGAAGTGCGGACCTTCACTTTGTTTTCACTCAGGGACGTCATGCAGCACTTTGGTTTCTGATAAATGGCTTAAGCTCATCTTTCAGAAAGCAGTGACCTATGATTTTCCTTTCAGAAAGCCATCACACTGTTTTATATGCAGTGGGGCATGCATTATCGTAAATCAGCAGAGTGCAATTTGATGCCTGAATCATTGGACACAGACACGTTGGCACGCAGCGTAATGTCATGTCATATGTACTTTAGCTTGTTGTGACGGTAACTGGGAGTGCTATAGGAAGCAGCACTAATAGACACACTATGCCTTGTGACGGAATCTTACCCCATCCAAATGCATCTGAGGGTTCTTGGCAATGGTTGACTTAGCTTATGATATTTATAGCTGATGTATTTATTCAGTTGCATGGAAAGGTTTATGGGATTTGCCACATCTTGTAAGACTGATTCTGTTAATAACAACAACAATAATCATAGTAGTAGTAATAATAATAATAATAATAACAATAATAAAAAAGATCTTTACTCTTTCACACCATAGTAGTAGTAGTAAGTAGTAATCTTTATTTATATACCGCCTTTTCACTGCACATCGGAGTCTCAAAGCGGTTTACAATTGTTATTTTTTGGGAGTGGGGGTGCCAGTACAGGAGGCACATGCCAGACCTATTGTACATATTTTTAGTGGTAGGGGAAACCGGAGCACCCGGAGGAAACCTACGCAGACACGGGGAGAACATGCAAACTCCACTCAGAAAGGCCCTGGTCCAACCGGGATTTGAACCCAGGACCTTCTTGCTGAGAGGCGACAGTGCTATCCACTCAGCCACCGTGCCACCCATACACAGTGGTGTTAAGCTGCTCTGGGGGAGACTAACAGAAGCGAGGCAACCAATATTGGCAATGTGGGTGAAGCGTCTTGCCTAAGGCCACAGTGACACTTTACAGCCGCAGCTACCCCACTGTGGCACCTGTTTCCCAGATGTCTTCCGTCAGAGTAAAAACCAGGACGTGTCCAGCCTAGCTTCAGAGGTATGACCGAATCTGGCTTTCAAATGCGAGTTGAAGCAAACCACTATCAGGGTAAGACGGAAAATAATTATTATGCATTATTTTTGTCCAATAAAAAAAAAAATCTAATTCTAAAATTATTAGCTGCAAACACAGACATGTGATTGTAAAGAACTTATTTTCCAAAACTTATTCATGGGCAATATGTTTATTTTAAAAGTGTAATAAGTTGGAAGCTAGCTGTTAGCTAATACAATACAATACAATACAATTTATTCTTGTATAGCCCTAGGTCACAACAGAAGTCATCTCAGAGGACTTAACAAAACCATTAAAATCACCAACACAGGTCAGAGAATCAACAGTTAAAACACATGAAAAATATAAAGCACACACAGAAGAAAATGTCCATACATGTTGTAGAATGCTAAAGTGTCCTGATCATCACCAATCCTGGACACTAACGGTCCAACAAGACCCTCCTGCATCGGCAAAGAAAAACTCTTAAAAAAGTTTTAAGAGTACTTAAATGTGTAATACTGACACATTTACAGCAATGTTGATTAATGTGCATCGTCCCTATTCAAATAAACTAATAAAAAAAATAAAAAAAATAAGTGTGATGCCACGGTGGTACAATGACGTCTTACAATACAGGCCTGAGTCAGGAGCTTTAAGACCGAAGGTGCAGGGTTACATGAGTGTTACAGAAGATATTAGCGTGGATGGATCTACAAACAACTTCAGGTCTATTTGTGATGAGGAAGAATGTTTTAGCATCATTAAAAGTTTTTCATCATATGTCTCCTTTGATTTCCGCCTAAACCCCTTCAGTCCTTAAAAACTGCCAATCTGTGCAGTGTATGAACTATGAATGAACAGCTACTGCAGTAAATACTCCGGATTTAGCTCAAGGCTAGTTCTCATGCTTAGTCCTTGATGCTTTTACTTCCACATTATATACTGTGGGTGGAATACATGCAATTTTACAACACCACTTAGTACCAGCATTCACATGTGCTTTCTGAATGTAGATATCTCCTATTTATTTTAAAGGACTGTGGTAATGACCCAGGACACTCAACATTCAACAAGATTTATGGACATTTATCAACACGTATGGACATTGGTCAACTCCCCCCACCTGTGTATTCTCTATGCTTTGTGTTTGAACTTTATTGGGTTTTCTCTGATCTGTGTTTGCGAATCCAACGATTTGGTAAAGTCCTCTGAGATAACTGCTGTTGTCATTTAGGGCTATACAAGAAAAAATTGAAATTGAAATTGATCGCAAACTCAAGTAAGTGCCAATAGCAGTGGCAATCTGTACCTTACTGTCTCTGCAAAGAAAAATCCATGCTTTGAACTATAGCTACTGGTATTTAATGACCGGCTACCTCCTTTCACAGTTTAAAATTGGTTGCAGCTGCTTAGACAAAAGATTTACTGAAGGATTTATGGCCGGTATAATTGCATAACAATACCTGTGACGTTGTGCTGGTTCATTTCCCAAAAACAACATCTATCCTTTAAAACCTTGGAGCTCATTTGGCCACGGCTGGTGCTTCCCAACCATTAAAGCAACACAATACAGACAATAATCCAATTACCTCTGTGTGATAGCCTTATAAGAAAACAGAGAGGAGAGATGAGCTCCAGTCTACCTGCAGTAGTCAATATCGATAAGAGATTTCCCACAGTGCCTAAATATAGAAATTAAGCGGTTCAGTTTATCTTTTGCTTGGAATATCATGAAAGCTTTGCAGTAAGTATTTGATCCAGGGTTTTCTCAGTGCCACCAGGGAACAGGCTGAGGTGGGGATGATTTATGGAGATGCTGTGGGCTGACAGCCAGGCCATTGGAGACCACGCACACTCATTTGCTTTGTGTCATTTATTCAGGCAATCAAATAAACCCTGCGTTGACTTGCAAACAAATCAGGGCTAAGCTTCAACAGGAGATGGACCACGGATGCCCTCCTTCCTGATTAGGTTTTGAAAGACAGTTATTTGCCTCCAAACATAGTCCCAATGAAAACTGTTCACCTGTCAATCTTACCTGCATGAATATTCCCCATTTCACTATTATCTTTGATCTTTCTCATTAACTCATTAGCTGGATTTTTCTGTGCATTCACTGGGATTTGCACCAAGAATTCATCGTGTATAAAATGTATTGAGACATCAAGTTTTTCAACCACCACCAGTGGGTATTCTATAGTTGTGTATTCAATGATCTAAATCAAAATTTACATGAGGATTTAAACATAGGTGAATGATTGTGTTTTTATTTTGTAATGTCCTGTTTTTAAATATGAAATAATATCTTTATAATAAAATGTATGGTAAAACAAGTCTCAAGGTTAAAAAGACTTTCCGCCTGTAACTCCCTATGCAACCACCAGATGGTGGTGTTGAATTTGTTTGTTTTTATCCAAATTAAAATATGACCCTCTGCAAACACTTTGCAAAGGCTATTATTTCAATAATACTACTAACTACTTTAGGGGAACTACTTTTGTTTGAACAGGCAGAAGACTGCTCAGAATGGGATGTCACAAAACCGCTGCTCTGTTTGGGTTAGCTTGGAGTTGGGCATGAAATGTATCTTTGCTTTTAATTCCACAAATGTTTTCATTCATTATCAAAGTGGAACTAAGGTGGAAATTCAGACTGGAAGATAGGAAAACTTAAGCTCCATGTGCTCAAAGTCCTCCCACTGTTGCTTCACAGCAACAACTATCAGTCAATCACACTCAGGTGCAGCACTACACTGCCAACGCTCACCTGGCGGCAATAAAGCTTCATATCATGAGGAAGCTTCATTCAAACGGCAGCTTTCATTCATGCAGCAACCCTCCTCCTCCCCATCTCCGGCTCGTTCCGGGCCAGCTCTTTCACCTTTATCCTCGCTACATCTACCAGGGTCAAAGCCCTGGGGGATATGATCTCACAATCTTTATCTTCATTTCCCCTTCTGCAACCATGGTGCAGTGTTCTACCGGGGTCGAAGCGCCAAATCTTGACTACTTTTCTCATACAGTATCCAGTTCATCTCCAAACAACTGTTGGAGTCTCTCCAGATTGAACCATGAAAAACAAGGATTGTTACAGTTATTCAAAAGAATGTACCGAGGTGGAGGACATTGAGACTTGAAGACTCAGGTCTTGAAGACTATGTCATACAACAATGTGAAATATTTCAGAGCCACTTTATGCATTTTGACAATAGCCTCTCTATTTTAGATCCGAGCTCCTATAGCGAAATGTGTTGAGACAGCATGCCAACAGCTGAATATAAATACTTTGCAAAAGACAATACCTCCTGTGGCAGAAGTGTGTCACGATAATGTACTTTTCTTGACAAAAGATATGACAGAGACGGACTAAGGACAAATATAGTTCTAGCATGGAGAGCTCAAAACCTTGTACACTTGGCTGTATGTAAACCTGCTCAGTGACCTTTTCATGCAGACAGACTGAACGTATGTGTTAACTTGATAATATGGACTTCTCTCTCAGAGAGAAAGAGAAATTATTATCCCTATGTGATAGTCACAGACTTTCATTAGAAGAAACCCTATAAACTATGATGCAACTATAGCCAAAGAAAGCTGAAATTATTGTGATTGGACCTAAAGAGAAAATTATACATATATATTCCAGTTTTGAGCCCAAAGCTTGCAACACATACATTATGTTAATACATTTTTAATTTGAAAATGTTCTACCTTGTGAAGATGCTGAGATAATAATTTTCTCCAGAAGTCCAGAAGGTCTAGAAGGTAAAGCGATCACTTGCGTTTGTAAGTTGTTTTTTTGCTTGTCTGAGAACAACTTAACTCAAAAAGTTAATATAGGATTTGGACAAAAGACCCAGTGAACAACTGAATAATTTCTGGAGGTCATTCGAATAACTGGACGCAGGATTTTTCTAAAGCGGACGTCTGTGCTCTACGAGTGCTTTTCTAATAGTACATGCATTTGTCTTCAAGGTTCAATTCCAAGGCCAGAAAGGCTCAGTTTCTTTGTGGAGTTTGCATGTTCTCTCTGTGTGTACGTAGCTTTCCCTACGGTTTCCCCTTCCACCAAAAACATGTGGAATGGATCGTGATGGTCGTACAGTTTGGTGCATCGTGTGTGGAGTGAATGGAAAATACAGAAAGTTGTAAAGAGCTATATAAAGAAAGATCAAGATGTTTTTCTTTTATACACAAATCAAATACATTGGCAAAGTAAACGCCTTGTCTATATATATCATAAAGTCTGTATAAACAGGACTCATCTATCACATCGTGTCAACTTCTGTCTGCCATCATTTCCCCATCCACCTCTTGTTATCGCACTTTGATAAGAGAGTATCGTTGTATGACAGTAGTGGCACTTCCCTCTGGAGACATCATGGCTCACTCTTCGTACTTCTACTTTACCAAACATGCCGTCTCTTGGTAACTCCTCAAAAAAGTCGTAGTTGGAAAATCCTCATTGGGTCACTCTGATCCAGTGTTACTGCGTCCAAAAAATCCCAGTTGACCCTTGTCAGAGTGTGTTGTTGAGGGCAGCGGTGAGAGAGGAGGGGGAATGTACAGCCCCCACAGCTCACAGCAGAAGAGCGAGGAGGAAGAGGAGGCTAATTAGGAGGAGTGTAGGGTTCCAGGGGCATCGCTTCAATCCAAAACAAATCTTCTTTTTAAGTGAAATGCCAGAGAGAGTAACTTGTGTATTTTTTAACACATTTGCCACAAGGAACTTGCACTAACAAAAACATCACTGACAAATAGCAAACCATAAAAAACAAAATATTCTTGTTTTTTTTTTCGTTTTTGCTTTAAAGCAAACTGTTGTTTTTTAAATCTCTGCTATGCTCCCATTGCTCAATATTTTGGTTTAGTTTTCTTTATGAACTGGGTTAGTTTGCTTACTATATTTCTTATTATCTTAATATCTTATTACTTTTACAAATGTACAGTTCAGTGAAGCAGTATATTAGCAATATACAGTAACTGTAGATGCAAGCCTGCAAGCTATGTAGGTATACATATGTAAGCTTCATCGCATAATAACACTAGATTGTACCGTCACTTCTCAGTCAGGCTCTGGATCCCATCGGGAAATTGTGTTTTTTGACTTTTAGGGCTATTCAACATATCCAGAGTGACTTTGGGGGGCAAAAAGAGAATAATATTAGCAACACTAACAAAGTGGAGCTAACTGGAAATCTTGGACGGGGTGCCAAAGGATCCAGTACACCTAATGGTTTTATTGAGTAGAGACGAGTAGGGGTGAGAAGAAATGCCAAAAAGTGTTTGCTAATCTCACTTTTAAAGATTAGAAAAGAGCTCACAAAATAATGATGGTTTGGGCAGCACGGTGGCTGAGTGGATAGCACTCTCGCTTCTCAGCATGAAGGTCCTGAGTTTGAGTCCCGGTCGGAAATTCTCAGTGGAGTTTACTTGTTCTCCCTGTGCCTGCGTAGGTTTTCTCCAGGTGCTCCGGATTCCCCTATCACTAAAACATGTACAATGGGTATGAACGATTGAATGGATGGTGTTGAACGGGGGTTTTGATGCCAGTGTGTTTCAGTCATCAATGTGTTTGAATGGAAAAAATATCGGGTTTCTGAGCATTGTAAAGCGCTTTGGGTGACCTTGGTCGCTAAACATTACAAACTCATTTGTTCTGTTTAGCCAACTTTTTTCAGATATTTTCCCTCATTTCCCCAATGTGCTGCTGTTTGTCTGAGTGGTGATGTCATCTGTTTCTAACGCCTCTTTTCTGGGCTGTTCCGGCCACGGCCTACCAGGAGGAGACCCCATGGAAGACTCAGGACACACGGGAAGGACTATGTCTCTCACCTGACCTGGAAACACCTCGAGATATCCCTGGATAAGCTGATGGAAGTGAATAGTATGTGTCGAAGTTGTTAAAATATCGTTAAAGTTAAATTTGTCTGCGTTCCCGTCTCTTACATATTCCAGGCCCCAGTGCAGGTTTCCGCAGGAGTTGCAGAGCTTTTCCAAATCGCTGATCATTGCAGCTGCTTCCGACTCCACCAACTGGGGCAGAAAATCCGACTTATCGCTTTGTCATAATAAGCAATAGATGAAGAGCTGCGATCGACTCATCCCTTGTGTTTGCGTGTTATCATGTAATCTGACACTGCCTCTGTCTGAGATTTATCTGGAGATCGTATCTTTGTGTTTATATTCAGGCCCTCAAGTGTCATTCGATTCGGCTCGTGTTACACCATGCTGTTTGTGCATAATGTGGGAGAGAGGGAGAAAAGGAGAGGCGCTCACACTCAAAACTCGGTGACAACGTTCTTTTGAAGTTTTTTGGAAATGTGTGTTTACAGAAAGTGCTGCTGGTTTTACGCAATGCTCTGTTTGGACTGAAAACAAATGTGGCGTCAGGTTTTCATGCAAAGTCCAGGCGTTATTTCTATAGCACAATTCAGACACAAGGCAACTCAAAGTGCTGAACAAAACAAAATAGAAATAATCACACAAGGCATAAAACATACATATAACACAACTGTTTTTAATCTGGATTTAAACATTGTCAGAGAAGAAGCCTGTCTCACATTTTCAGAGACTTTTCCAGATTTTAGCCGCTTAAATCTGAAATGTTTAGTTCTGACTCTGGGCACCAGCAGGAGGCCAGTCCCTGTGCTCCTCAGAGTCCGAATTGGTTCATATGGCAGCAGGCACTATCCAATTCAGTTCAATTCAATTTTTTGTGTAGCCCTAAATTACAACAATAGTTATCTCAGAGGACTTTACAAAACTGTCAATTTCTCGCCAACACAGATTAGAGAATCAAACTTTAAAGAAAATGGTGATATCTATTTTTATCTACTTAAAGGACTTCAACAAGCCTACAGTGCTTTAGAAGTTTAGAAGGCATTTTACATTAAGGATAAACTTTGCCCATGTTAAGTGCAAAAAGCAGTTCATATTTGAGCTGTGACAGAGCATTAGCATATTGATTTATTAAATGGAGCTCTATTTTAACGCTCAATACCGGATGGACCATTATTGACAGGAAGTTCTAACGTAAGCAGCATCTGATCTTCTGCAATATGACTTTGCAGCTGGGGTAAATCGAGCCACCGTCTTTATGCACTCGTTCTGGACAATATCAGAGCGGCCAAAGCTGGGGCCATAACTAGAGGACATACAGTAAACAGATGTATATTTTACTCAAACAGGTTGTGTTCATGTAAAATCACAACATTCCAAATAGCCTGTAGTTAAAGCTGTGGTAATTGGCTGATAAATGTTTTCAGGTAACTATGGTAACTGTTAAATGTCCGACGTTTGGGGCTGTTTTTGCTGTAATTCCTGGGGCAATCCACTTGAAAAGAAAACCGTCAGAAAGTCTCACATCTTCATTGTCAGTGAATTATTGAAAAACAAATGCATCATGTTGGCCAGTAGAAAGGATAAGATAAGATTAGATATACTTTATTGATCACACACAGGAGATATTTACAAAGGACAAAGGAATAACAAGCTAATCCTTATTAATGAACTGGGAAAACATTTTCTTTTTCAATATTTATTTCAAAAATGCCTTCTTCTTTCCCACATATTTTTGTATTAGCACCTGCCCTCGCACTGAAAAAGAATTCTGCTCATGGCTTTCACATTGTCTTAAAGATTTACGAGGGTGAAGTTATGATTAAATGACCAATCCCTCCGATGGCCACTTTTGGGTTTTTTCCCCCATCGACTTTTAGATGATTAGGGCAGTGAGTGAGTGAAGGGGCAGACTCTGTGAATATTTTTTATGTAACCATCAGCACTTCTGCGTCACATGGTTGTGCTGACACTCTGTTTGTCTGTTGACAGCAAAGTAACCTCAGCCACAAGCACGAATAAAATAACACGCCCCACTCTAGTGAACTGCTGTCTGTCATGCCCGCTCCGCCTTTGCTGGACTGAAACACGCACTAAAAGATTCCCTTCTACAGCTCTATAGACAGGGATCTGACTAACACAAGCTCTGCGCCTGCTGTGGTGGGGTTGTCACAAAAATGTCCCGACCGTGGACTCTTTCTGGGATGAGTCAGCCCGCCCACCCTTCACAGACCTGCACTGACACAGGGACTTAGACGTGCTCACCGCCCTGTCACTAAACAACTTTAACTTATTGGGTTTCTTCAGCCCTCCTGAACTCACCTGTCTTTGCTCCCTTTACACGGAATGTTTCAGAAACCCACACAACTAGAAACAGCAGTGACTCACCAAGCCTGATTTATTATGTATACAGCATGAATTTATGAACAAGTTTTGCTTTTTGAGTTTTCATATGTTTGACAGATTTCACTACACTAATACATGATACACAGAATTCATACGTAAAGATGAATCCAGACATTTTTCAGCCACAAGGGGTCAGTAACAAGAAAGGCGGTAATTAAATTTAAATTCTCAAAGCTAGAGTTCCATACCGGTTTGTTTCATAAATATTATATGTTGTCTATTCTCACAGAAAGTGCCTTACAGGAAAAACATGTGAACAAATCTGGTCACAATGCAAAGTCTTCATATTGAAAAGTATGTTATCTTTAAAGAGCGACTAAACACCAAATCAACTTCTTTTAACCCATAAACTGCATAAATATCTTAATTGTAGTGCTCTCTACATATCCTGGTCATATTTTTGACATTTTAGTTTAGGCACAGGTGTTTAGTCGCTCTTTAAAGATGGAGCCCATTGAGTCAATATATTGCACTTTTGGTTGGGAGCTGATTAATCTCACTTTTCCATCAGAACAAGCTATATATGGTAAAATAATTACAATTACAGGCATTGATACGTGATACACCTGAAAATATCAACGTTTCTTTCTAAAGACAGTGCCTTCACCCCCATCAGGTGTGCAGAATCTAAAATAGATTTATGGTTGGGCCAAAAAAACATCACATCCTTGTTTTAAGAAGCCACAAAAAAGGATTTCTCAGTGTAACATAAGCGTCTCACAGTCGGGTCTAAACGATAACTTTTCACTGTCTGGTTTTCTAGTGAACAGTGTGGGCTCATATTGGAGATTTGTGTGAGGAGAAACAGTCAGAGAAGTAATAAGTGTGAAATGACTGAAAGCTCTCCACCACCTGCTGCTGTTCAGACGAGCTCCTGTGTCTTTAACTGATTCATATTGTGCTCAAGTCATTAGCATCCATTAGACAAGGGCCCCTGCTGCTGCACATCCAGTGTAGAGTTACAGCAGACTGTCTTCGCAGATGGAGATAAAGTCTGAATACTTTCTTTCATATTGTTAAGGAATGATATAATGAGCAGCTCGCGTGACCTTCCACAAAGATCTTCAAGTTTATAGGGGCTTTGACGGATTTGCGTTGGGCGGTACAGCGCAGCTCCCGAGTGTCTCAACTAGAAGTGATTTATGTTATTCAGTATATTATATGGTTCAGTTTCACATGTAGGGCAAGATACTTAAGGAAAAAAGTTCATGAGCCGTTTATGAGTCGCAAAAACATCAACACAACTGGAGAGTGTGACGCTATATTTTGAGGACAGAGGACCACCCCGGACAGAAACAAGTGCCAAGGATCCAGGCATCCGCAGAGGTTCCAGAAACTGGTTGAGAGGTCAGTAGGATAAGGCAAATTAAATAAAAACCTGATGAACGGAATGACGAACTGGGAGCAGGTGTGGAAAAAGGGCATTCCGCTGAGTCCAAATGAGGCTGGTCCATTCTGTCATGAGGTGAGATGATGGAGGACTCAAAATGCAGGAATTCCACAATAATGGTTTAATGAAATAAAGTCCAAATTGAAAATAAAACTCAAAAATCCAAAGGGAACAGGATCACATAACCAAGAACAGGACAAGACAGGTGTTGACAAGACAATGGACCAGCACAAGGGGAGAGGAGCACAGGGTACAAATAGACACAGACACAGGTGAAACACATCAGGGCAGGGCAGACAATCAAGACAGTGGAAACAGGACAGGAAGTCAAACTAAAACTAATTCACAGATAACAGACGTCAAAATAAAAAAATACTAAAATAAAATCCACACCATAACAATTGTAGCCTCTGGTTTTAGCTTTGGTTTTTATTGGTTTTTATTCTTATTATAATTTTAATAAATTGTTTTTAATTTGCTGTTAATCCAGCGGTCTCCTTTTAAACCCGGGTCCAAAGAACCTGTTTTTCCACCTCTGACACATGGTTTCCCTGTGTCTACGGCGGTTTCCTCTGGGTGCTCCGGTTTTCCCTACCACTCACAATAGATCCAGACTCTGCTTCCTGTATGGCAACAGCACTTCCATCACTGAGTGTGAAGGGAAAATTATATGATGATAATATTACCTAAATGGAATGGGATTTAGACTTTTTTCTTTCTTTTTTTTTCCAAATTCTTATATATAATGATCCCAAACCGTAATATGTGCTTGTAAAAAAAATAAAAAAATACAGATGCCAATGTAGGACAGACTTGCACTCCACTCAAAATGTCACAACTGTAAGATAAGATAACTGCAATATTTATCCAAAGATTAAGATTAATAGATCCTTTATTGTGGGGAAATTTCAGAGTTGCATCACAAGTTACAGACAGTATAATGAGGAGCACACAGCACAAGATAAATGAATAATAACTCTGAACTAGAATAAAATAAAATAACATCTCTAACTCAAGCCTAATAATAATCCGTGTAAAACCTCTATCTTTAGCATAATAAGGAAAGAAGTCTAAAATCTCCCACTTCAGCATGATGAAGAAGCATGTAAAAGACGGATGCTAAATTACCAGTTTTTTCCCCTCACATCTGACCACCTCTAGTTCACAATGTAAGTACAATCCAGAGAAAATAACCCACAGTCTACGAACAGAGAAAGTATTGAATGACCCACACAAACTAACATCGCAGCTTGAGTTATGGCCAAAACGTGTTGACCTGTTTTTGTTTTGTTTTTTTGGGGGTTTTTTTTTGGCAGAGAATGAGCAGCAAAGGGGCAGCAGCAGCAGCAGCAGGAGCTTTTTGAGGCTTTATGAA